GAAGCGAAGAGGGGAAAATAGAATGTGATAAATTAAAAAATAAGGAAATACTGAATGAATTTATTTCACTCATTTTCTTCATTTTTTGATGTATTTTACTCATTTTTTATTTATTTCACCCATTTATTTATTTAATTTTGGCTGAAATGGCTCTCCATAATCATCGGACACGCTCAGAGCAGTCACAGTAACGTTCCAAAGGCTGTTTAAGTCTATCGCTTTTTTCCTTTTTAGAATATGCAATATTTACGCAAATATAAAAATTTTCAAAAGGAACCCTCCGTCGGAGAAATACTAAAGAATAAAAAAGTAAGAAAAAGGAAGTATTTTCTACACTGAAGTTATTCAGAGGATGTGATGAATGAAAAGTCAACGGCTTTACGCTAAATGTTTGTATCATAATGGATAAATACATGCTAGCAATTAGCGCGATAAATGTGGAAGAATTGGAACTTTTCCCTGAAGGCAACCAGAACCAGAACCACCAGTTTAAAAGCTCTGCTAACAGTGGAAAGCCTCCATCCACTGATCGCTGGATTAAACTAAAGCGAGCTGATCACAGCCGGCGTCTACTTCAATAAAACACGGCGGTAAATAATCCTGACAGCGTGTCAGAGCAACGTAGCCGCCTATTGTTTCACGTTTATTCTTCTATTTATTAATTCAGTAACCCATTTGCTTCCTGTTTACTTATATCTAATAAATACATTTTATAATGGGTAAGAAAACATGTTTTTGTTTATTTAGTCAGTAATTAATACAGATGACACCAAAAAATAGGTCAAATATTGTGAAATGATATTTTTTTTTTATTCAGCATATTGTTAAATAATATTTCGCCTTTTATGTTATGGAAAGATCCTGTTGATATTAGAGAAAACTCAGATTTTAATCGTTTATCGATTAATTGGATCAATTAAGTTTAGATGAATTTACTCATTGATAATTGAATCACTCGTTCCTGCAGTCTGATCTCTGCAGGAACCCTGATGGTTTCCTCTGCAGATGAACAAACATGGCTGAAGGTCTGGGAAGGTTTGATGGACTCACATGGATCATCTGCTCAGTGTTCTGGTAGATGGAGCAGAACTCGGGTCCGCAGCGGTCAGCCTAAAGAAACATGGACGGTTTAATCAAGTCCTCCTCAGCAGGAATCACCCGATACGCTAAATTCTCCTCACCTTCCTGAACTCCACTTTGAGGAGCTCGGCTCCAGCCTCAGCCGAGGAGCTGATGAGACACAGCGGATCACCAACAGAGTCTGAAACCAGAAGATTAATAAAACAGCAATCCTTTGAAGCTTCTCATTATACCATCACATAAATACCAGTGAAACCACAGAAACCAGCTCCGTGTGCGGCTTGACCTTTAAACTCCAGACTCTTCATGGAGACCTGTCTGATGTAGGTGGTGGCGCTCAAGTCGTACTTCCGGACTTTGGCGTCGATTCCCAGCTGATCCAGCTGGAAGACCAGGAAAGGTGCTTCTTCCAGCTTGATGCGCTTCTTGAGGGACAACAGCACCTGAAGCAGGAACCAGAACATTGGAGGAAACATCTGGATGCAAGCTAACGACCGGCAGAAGCGAAGGTCGCTAAAGAAAGAGGACAAAATAAAAACCCTTCACCTGTTTGACTTCAAAGCCAAGCAGAACTTTGACCACATCCTTCTCAGACAGTTCTTGGTGGGTTGAGGCCTTCATCCCATTAGATTCTGGATGGACCAGTGTCTCCTTTGGTCGCTCGCTAAGCTCCGCCTTCTCTGTGGAGGTAAACACATGCTTTACCTCAGGCTGGTTCTCATTATTCTTTAATCTAATCTGATGGTTCTGATTGAAGCTAAACTGCTTCAGACGAAGGAAATTTAGGTCTGAGGCGCAGCTTGCTGAGACATAAAGGACTGGGACAGAACCTTAGCGCCTCAGATCAGATGGATCTATAGATCTTAGATCAGATGGAACTATAGATCTTAGATCAGATGGATCTATAGATCTTAGAGCTCAGGGGTTTCCAGATCCTGATAGGTCAATGATAGAGCTAAGAAACAGCTTAGACTGATAAATAGAAAGCTGGAAAACTAGCTGCTCCATGTAGCAGAGGATCCTAAATGGATCGGTCACAGAGGAGTGATGAAATAACAAGGAATTAATATAATTTATTTTCTCAGAAAATAAATTATTAAGCTTTTATACAGTGTAGTTTGGTACGCTTCAAATTTTTGGGGAGAAAAAA